TGAATGTGATTATGTGGGAAAATGGACCTCTTGAGGCAAAACTGAATGAAAAATTACCTATAAATTCTTTCTGAACACCTCATTTTGCTTCTTTGCTTAGACATATTTATATATCACCAACACCTCTTGTCCCAGTTTGCTTAAAAACAGTCTTAACTATTTAAGGTAATAGATAGAGTACTTGATCTTTCACCTGTGTAATTAAATTTTAGGTAAATCAATAATCCCTATTGTCTCTCACATCAAAAAAGATAGATTGAGAATTTACTCATAAAATAATTTTTTATGAGCAGTTTGTGTTAACTGTTCATGTCCTCAGTAAGGCCTCCAATTAGTAACAGGCTATCAGTAACTAATCTTTGGGGGAATCAATGTTAGACATTAATTTTAAACTGTGCAGGGATTCATCAGTCCTAACCCCAGAATTCTTCAAAGGTCAGTCTTATGCTCTAAGGTGAAATATTATTGTAAAGTATTGTAAAACAATAAAATTCTGATTGCTGAGGTTTTATGAAAAATACATCAGACAAACATTGGTGGTCATTTTTATAGACTTTCAATAAATTATTTATAATAATTTATATTATTTACACTGTAATATTTCATTAAAAATACTTCCTTCAAGCATACAGAAATTGTAGGTATTTAGCATTCACTGTCTCATACTGGTTTTGTAATCATGGGACAATGTCACATTATTGTTTGCATGATTCAAAAACACATACATAGTCAATTGATTTTCACTAGTGAATAATTATCTTGGAAGTTGATTCTAGCAAAGTTAAACAGTTGCTAAGGATGAAAATTTCTTAACATTATCTCATACTGGAACTTCCTTAGTTCATATTTCCATGAAACATTGCTGATGTTCTAGATAATAAAAATACTCAACAAAGCAACATTCATCCACTGAACATTGAATCACTTGAAATTACAACAGGTGGTGATTGGCTAAAACAAAATTATAATTATTAAGATCTTTCACTAGGGATCTAACTAGTAGAGCACTTGCCTAGCATGCCCGAGGACCTGGATTTAATCACCCTTACTGCAAGAAAAAAAAATGAGAGAAAGATACAGAGAATTAAACAAGAGAAAAAAAAAAAACAAGAGATTATCACCCATGGCATCTAAGTAAGAATTATACAACCAGACAATTTTGGAAGAGTTTTAATTGTATGTGTGTCTGTATATGTACACTTACTTGGAAAGGTGAAACAAATAAAGAGACAATTTAATTAGAATAGAAAAAGAGAATAGGAGTTATTTTTTAACCTTGCGTGACATTTTCTGTCTTGTTTTCTACTTAATTAAATTCCTCTAAGTTAAGAATAAATGCCTTAATGTGTTTTTTTTTCTTTTTCTTTTTTTATTATTGCTTTACTGATACCAGGGATGAAACCCAGGGGCACTTAACCACTGAGCCACATCTCCAGTCCTTTTTATTTTTTGTTTTGAGACAGGGTCTCACTAAGATGCTGAGGCTGACTTTGAACTTGTGATCCTCCTGCTGCTGGGATTATAGGCCTGTGCCACCACATCCATCAATATTTTTCTAAAATAATCTACTTATTCATGTGTATATAAAAGTAAACCACATTTGTTGCCACCATCGTCATGGTCTTCTTCTTCTTCTTCTT